GAAAAATTCTAAGGGAGACTAGAGATCCTAATGTTGACATACAATGATGGTCCTAAGGTTAGGTTTGAAAGGGAAATATCTATCTAAGTTAGCGTGCAAAGATGAACCTAAGGCTAAGGTTAGGGAAGCTACCTAATGTTATCATGCATGATTAAGAACATAAGGTCTATTTAGTTCACATCTTGAAGAAGATGAAGCTAAAATCCTAAGGGAACATGTTATTCACACAAAGAAGAAGAAAGAAGAGCACAAGAAATTATGAACTCAGAAGAAAATTAAGTGTCAAGGCTAAGCATACAAAAGTTTATTGAAGCATATAAGATGGAATACCAAATAGGGCAGAAACAACACCAAGTATTACTTAAGAAGGCAAGCCATGAAGATGGAAGAACAAGTGTCAAGTATCAACTAAAGTTAGATAAAAGAATTCAAGCAAACAAGTCAAGCAAGTTCAAGAAGATTTAGGAAGTAACAATCAAACAATGAAAGCATAAACATGATGTTATAGAATGTATGACTTATGCAAGAATTTAACTCAAGATTAGGTTCAAGAGTAACAAAAGAAGTTGATGGAAACTTCATACACAAAGCAAAGTCAAACAATTTGATGAACAAACAATATCATCATTCAAGATAGAAATCACTTGTACTAAATCAAACAAGATGAGAAACGATCAAGAAAGGAGACACTTATATGTCACGGGGAAGTAGTAAAGTCCCTAATATAGCATCAATTTTAATCTCTAAATTTTAAGAAATGCTATCACGTTAGCATACTCAAATATCAAGGCAAACTAGCAATGCATAAGATCAACATCATCCAAGTGAGTAAGAGATGAAAGAAAATAAGGCAAGTCAATATGAGTGAAGTGCCTTGCATAAGAAGCAAACTTTAAGATGAAGTAAGGAATAGTCAAGAGATGTGACCCAAAACATTATGCAAAAAGTTGGTTCAAGAAAATAAGTCAAACAAGTAAAGATGTAGTCCATAAAGTAAGACAAGCATTGTAAACTATGTCATCAAGAAAATGATAAATTTTTTAGGAACTTAGGTGTTATGGGAAGTAACCAACACCAAGTTAATTTAAAGGGACATGTCTCAAGAGTAGGGGAGTAATTTATTTGGCATCATGCTCAAAAGCTCAAATAAGAAAGAAGATATAGCTTCTAAAGTGTCACCATATTGATTGACAAATGAATGCCTAACCAAGGATCATAGAAGCATGTAAGAATTGATGAGAAGAGAAGATGAGATCAAGTTTCAAGCATAAAATTTGGATCACAAACCCCAGGGAGTTTCATCAATTAACAATAAAAAACTAGCTCAAAGAAAGAGATTAATGTAGCTTCTAACTTGTCATCATTATGAGTTAACAATTTAATGTTAATCAAAGAATAAAAGAAGAAAGATGAGAGATATCATAAGCCAAGGTCAGAAGTAACCTCAAATGATTCACATGAATTTTGATTCATGATTATTAAAGAGGAAATGCACCAATGCATTCCAAATCAAAGTCTCAACGATGGACAAGTAACTTCAAAGACTAAGCAAGTAAAGAAGCATTGTTAAGGTGCTTAAATGGTTCAATCAATATGAACTTAATACCTATAACATGGTGTCAGAATAAGAAGAATATAAAGGAATTTGATTCCTTCTAGGTTGCACAAAGTGCATTCCTTGTATCTCAAGCAACAAAATAATTAAACAAGAAGCATGTTCAAAATAGCAAGACAAAAGGAGAATTTGACCAAATAAAATCATATGATTTTCAAGTCCTCCAGGGACTGTCCTTGAACCTGTCATTCCTCAAAAATTTATTC